AGAACTCAGACTTTAGAAAGCATTTCATGAGGAACAATTGCGCAGCTGAGGCCCCAGGAGAGAAGGCTCATCATGAAAGAGCCGAAAGGTCACAGCATATTGATTTAGCACCTCTGGGTATTGCTGATGCTTTGCCAAGCCCCCAGTCTACCAAAAAGAAAAGAGAACTGTGGTGTCCTCTATTGATTGGCAAAGGGAAGGAATGGAGAGACTGTTTTTCATTAATATTCAGCTTAATAAAATAGGAATGAAACATAATCTCCCCTCCTCCACAAATCTCTTCTGCCCCAGAGGGCAGAACTAGCTCTAATGAGCAGAACTTATGGAAGATCAATTTCCTCTAACATCAAGAGAACCTTTCTTATGGCATAAAAAATTTGACAATGCAACTAATGACTATAAGGTCTTCAAGCAGAGGCTGGACAGCCATTGGTTGAAGACCTGCTAAATTGCAAAAGGGAACCTATGACCCTTGAGATGTTGCTAAACTTCAGCTCCCAGAATTCCCCCCATTAGCCACGCTGGCTAGAGATGCTGGAGGGTACAGTTTAGCACTATCTGGAGTCACAATTTCTGATCCCTTTTCTGTCTCTTAATTCCTTGCATCAAGCAAGGAGTCAAAAGAAGCTATTTTAAGACTTCCTTTTTGTATGGGGTGGGACAGTTTAAGGACAAGGGTTGCTTCCTAAAACCCTCCCCAAGTCTTTCACCTGAAAAATTCACTGTCTCCATATTGCAAAAAATCTTTAAAATAGCTTCATAGCAATGGAAGTTATAGAGAGAGTAATTATGTGTTTATTTATTGGGATGACAGCACTTGGGGAGGAAAAGACTAACTTTTCTCTCTCAGATACTCTAACTTTTCTTGAAAAGTTCCCATCACTGCATAGCAATCTTGGCTTTAAAACATGTTCAATGTCAGTAGAGTCTATTCTAAACTTTAATTAATAAGTGGGGGTGAGGGGAGGATGTTTGAATTCATTTAGCTTGCCAAGAAAGCTACATGGATGTGTCTGTGCAGTCATAGGAATCAAGCTTGACTTGAGGGTCTTTACCTTTTCTGCTGTGGTCAAGTACATTGAAGTCCATCCTGAGTTCCTTGGGTATTCCTTCCATGTAGGACAAAGCTGGAAGTCAATACCCTCTGACTTAACCTACATGGAGTTTGTACATAATTTTCCCCATATATATTTCCAAGAGGATATAAGCCAAGGACATGAAACTATCCTGGGCTTCCTCAAAGGCAAAGGACAAGAATCATGATGGGCCCTCCAACAACAGACAACTAAAGAAAGTGAAAAAGGTTCAGAGAAGGGGGCTCACTCGAGGCCTTTGCACAGAATGTTTGGCTTGGTAGCTTCCATAGGAACACAAAACAGAGCTTTCTCATTGCTGGATTTGAAAGAAACCATTCCAAAGGTATGAATTGCAAACCTCCCAGAAGCCATGCTAAAGTATAGAATTGAATTCTTACATTTCTTGGCCAATTAATCAGTGAACACATCTTTTTAATTCTTCCGACATATGTAGTTAGCAACCAATATAATTGATGTTGACTCTAACTAAACCTGAGTTAATATTCATTGCTTCATTGCAAATGATAGAACAATTCATTGGCTCTTAGCATGGGCAGACCTTTGTCTTAGTATGACATGTTAAGCTTTCATTGGTACTTAATATTCGAAGGCTCAGTTCTATAACAAATTTTTTTTTAACACAGCAGATTGCCCATTTGAAAAAAAATTAATCCATATTTAACCATTTAAAGCCTTTCTTTGTGTAATAGCCACAGTGCATTCATGTGGCCTTTGATGTCACGTATGTGTCCTTTGCATAGTGTACACATAGAAAACACTTGGTCCATGTTCCAATGAGCAGATCAGTGATTGCACAGTTATATATAAACAGTTTGAAGACCCTCAGCAAGTTCCATATATAATGAACAAGCAAAGATTTCCAATGTATAAGTGTATGAACCTTGGCAATATTATACGGAGAAAGTGCTTCAAGGGATTTGTGAAATTGGACCAACTTGCAGCATGAATTTGGACTTTCCTCTCAGTGCTCCAATTATGTGACTTTAGACTCTGGATGTAAGAAAAAAAAAACAGTGGGTGCTTGAGGTGAGGTTTGTTTTACTTTACTCACTTCAGAATGTGAAAAGTCAGTCTTGTTATGCTTGGGGGTCATCCTGCTCTTTCTGTTGAATGGGGCTTGCATTTTTGCACTAAAGTCCTATCCTGATAGCTCTATCTCTTCTTCTGCCTCCTTCATTTTGTTAAATTACAGATTAGCCATCCCTTCTGAGCAGTAAGGCAGGATACAAACTCAACAGGGATAGTTCTGCTTCGGCTGGTCCTAGAATTCAATCTGTGAGCAATATTTGCTACTTCACAGATATCCTACATTGCCTCTGTCATGCCTCACATATGTCTTGGACACCTTAGACATAAGCTGCTTTTTAATTTTTTTGGGAGTTTGACTTCTTCCTCCCTCCCCACCTCTCTTAGTATTTGTGTGAACTCTTGCATGGTTTTAATGAAGAAGTGCCTTTCTACTGGGATCCAAAGTTCTGCCCATTATGATAAAGGTAAGAACCATTTTCAGTACAGAAAAAAAAATTCCAATAGTTTGTTAATATTTTGATGTGATAATAGTGGGGGCCTTCCATATGGCAACCAGTTAATAGTTATTGTTCCAAAATCCAGGAACAATTTTTTGTTGATATTCTATCACAACAAGCACTAGTACATTGTTGGATTTTAATTTCCATAATTCCCAACTAGCATATCCACGATTGCCTTCCTGTGATGGATTCTAGTTCCTATTGTACCAACCAGGCTTGGCAAGCTGATGGAAGGCTCAGCCAATCATCCAACCCTGCAGAGGTTTAAAACAGACCTAGTTGTGATGTGTTCATAAAAAATGAAGTCACCCAGGACTCCTCCACTTTAAGGTCACCAACTCCTCCCGAAGAGAAACCAAAATCCTTTGTGTGCCCTACTGTATGTGTGAGGTCAGGTACCAGCAGGGATAGGCCCATAGTCGCTGGGGAGGGATATGAAGCTTCAAGCACTCCTCAATGGTCATTGAAATCTCCCAGGACAAGAAGTTTAGGATAATCCAATGCCTTGCTTGAAATGTAAGTGAGGTAGTTTAGGCAGAGGGCTGGACAGTATACTAATAGTATCTTGACACTGTCCTGGATACCCACATGCATCAGCTTGTACTCAGACCTGGCTCTCCTCCTATTTTCTGTCTACACACAGCAAATATACATGATAAAATGGTGTTGTCTCTGTGTGTGATAGAATAACACATAGTTCTATCTTTACCTTGAAGAAAATGCACTTAGGAATGTTAGTGTTGAATTGGCTACCATCTCAATGAAACACTACCTGATTGGGCATTAGTTTTCCTCTATGCTTTCAGCCAGTCATTATGATAGAACTGGAAAGTATCCTAGAAATAAATATGAAATTTTTAAAGTATGTTTTTGATCACTGCATAATTTTCAGTTTGTGTATGATTGACTCTATACCACTGAATTTGGTATATTTCTTCTCAACAGGCAGCGGCATGAGTGAGTATCTTAGGTAGAAATCTACACTGCTCACTTAGCTCAGACATTTTAATTTAATTTTATTATGGAAATTTGAGCATGATAGACTCTATCCAAATTTTATAGGTGGTATCATTTAATGCTATCTAGGCATTTTCTCATGTAGCTTTGGAAAATACACAGGAGAACTTCATTTTGCTGAAGATCCTTTTGAGAGAATGGCCCAAGAATGCATATTTCACTAGCAGCAGAAATATCTTTCAAGATCTGTCATTATAGGCCTAAATCTCAATTCTTTGGCATGATAGAGTTTAATCAATGAACCCCAGAGAAAGAAAAATTCTATATGTTAATAGTGCATGGTCTTGAATAGTATACTCAGCATGCTTTACATCTACTTGAAAGTCAATCCCTAGCATTCAGTCACACTCTGTCAATGTTATTCACACTGTAAGGTCACCAAGAAACAGAGCCAGGATGGATTTCTATATATAAGAACACTCTTAAACAGAATTCAGTGGCAGGGTTTAGTATGGGTTAGGTTTTGAAAAACCAGGATTGATCCTGCCTCTTAACTGCCCATGGTGACTTCCAGTAGTTTTTTCATATCCAAGTTGGCATATTTTTTGCTACTTTTAAAATATCTTACAAATGAGACTCAATGTCAAGTTCTTAAGAACAATTGGGCTCAATCAAAATTGCACAAATATGTTACAACAGCATTACTTATCATAAGGGGCAGTTTTAACTCCCAGATGAATTCCCAGAAATGTATGGATGTGGAAAGTGGTTTCTGAAATGCAGTATTAACTATATGTATAGATCTTTGAGATGGCTTCTAAAATTAAAGACAAATTAGGAAATTTTTGCAGTATATCACAAAGATCATGAAATGAGGTTAATCATATTTCTATTTGTGGGGGTGACTTTTGCTTGTTTTTGTGGTCTTCATGAAATATTTCATTGGTCAGAGGGACTTTCAGAACAAATCATATATGTGACAAGGAAGCACAGTACCATCAACGCTAATGTTATAGAGACCACAATACTCAACACAAAAATCAGGAGGCTGCTTCTTAGGAGCTAGATGAAAATGTACTAGGAGCCAACCTGTAACTGAACTTCATTCTTTTTGGAACTCAAAAGTTCCATGATAGCATGACCATTTTCCCATATCCCTTTATGATGAATTCAACATGTGTTCCAATTGCAAGGCAGTAAAATTTGAGCTAACTTCAAAACACACATTGTTCCTAAAATTGATGCATGATGAATCATTCACAATGCTCAAGTAAATGTGAATTATTACAAAATTAATAGCTTATATGGATCTTCTTATTTTGGTGTGCATCAGCATTAGTGGCTCAGATGAGAGAAACAACTAATATAAACACAGTTCTTGGTTTTTCATCATGCAATCTGGCCTTTGAACCATAGATTAATGCAAGGAATCATTTAGACTTAGTTCACTGGGTGTGCTTCTGCTCATGTTTGTGAGACTGGCCATAAGGGATTTAACTTTGTAGGCATAGTAGTCCCTTAAGTTGACAGAAGGAACCACTTTCATCCCATCCCCAAAATCACAGCTCCTCATGGCACTTTCTAGCTGCTTTTGGCGCTTATAAAAGTGAGAGAACTTATTGAATATAAGTGTGATAGGAAGGACTACAACTAAGATGCCAGCTAAGATGCATGCAGAAGCTGTTAGCCTGCCTGCTATGGTCACTGGGACAACATCACCATAACCAACTGTGGTCATGCTAACTGTAGCCCACCACCAGCAGGCAGGGATGGTTTCCAGGGCTCGGTTTTCTTCTTTTTCAATTGTGTAAGCCACTACTGAGAATATAGAGATTCCAACTGAGAGGTAAAGGAGAAGAAGCCCTACTTCTCTGTAGCTATATTTGAGGGTGGCTCCAAGAGATCTAAGGCCTGTTGAGTGTCGAGCAAGTTTTAAGATACGGAATATTCTCATCAGTCTCAGGACTTGGGCTACTCTACCCAAATTGGCTAATGTAGGACTACTTTCCACCACTAAGTTAACTATTAGAGTGATATAGAATGGAAGGATGGACATGAGGTCAATCAGATTGAGTGCATGCTTAAAAAACTGAAGGAAATCTGGGGCAACTGCAAACCTGGCCACCAGCTCAAAAGTAAACCATGCAATACCAAAATGTTCCACAATTTCAAATCTAGGGTCTTCCTCTGAGTTCCCATAGCTGTTAACAATCTGGAAGTCTGAAAGGCTGTTGAGGCACATAGTCACTATAGATCCAAGAACAACCATAATAGAAAGAACACTGAATATTCGGCTCAAGACAGAATAGCCAGGATTGTCTAAAGCTAACCATAGCTGCCGCCTCACTTTCCCAAATGGTTGTTTGTCAAATTTAGCAGCATCATTGTAGAAGGCCAAGATCTCATCAAATGAAGAAGAGGTACTTTCTTGATCACTGTGATCTTCCCATTTTTCTTGATCTGGTTCCATTTTTCTCCCATGGTAGCTATAACTGCAGCAAGAATCAATAAAGAATTCATTGATTCCCCAGTATTCAATTTCCTGGCTGAAGGAAAAGACACAGAGCTCACCCATCACATGTAACTTTCCAGTATTATAAAAATGGAGCACATAAGGGAAAAGTTCAGGGTTTCTGTCAAAGTAGAACTCATTCTTAGTGTCATCATAGTCATCACAAAGCTCTAAAATTGACTCCTTTGAATTGCAGCTCAGCAGCTTACCCAGTCGTGTTTCGGGGAATCTCAATAACGTGTTGTATCTCATCTTTTTCTTAAAGCCTCCAACATTGAGACTGATCTCATTGTCTTCGAAATAGGTATCAGACAAACCCCTTAGATTCAACCCTGTCATTGTGAGCGTTTCCAAGATCTATATGGGGAGAGAAGACCTATGGAATAATAAAAGAAGGCAATCAATGTTAGCCAATAGAACAGAGTGAGAATTCTCCATTCCTCCCCCTTTAGGATATACTTGGATCAAATATAGTCATATATATACCACCACCCACCTTTTGAGATTCCCACACCATCAGCTTCTTTTTATGAGATGCAGTTTTTGTACTTAACCGGAGATAAGGTGGTCATTAATGCTCAATCACAAATTTATGTTATATTTGATTGCCCCTTTTCACTCGTTCCTTTTCCCGCACTCCCTTTGGCAGTACAGTAACTGACACAATATCACATACAGCTCTTGGTTGTTATCCCCCCTCCTCAGATAAGAACGGTGCTGCTGAAAATAGGGCACGGCTTTCAATGGTTGGATGGGCAGCCAAGGCAGCTCCGAGGCTCCAGGTGCAAACAGTGTCTTTCCCTAAACTCTGTAGCACTGGTGAGTGGAGCAAAGGTGAATCCCTGTGCACATTTCCTTTCACTTCTCTTGGCTATTAAGTGAGTATGTCTGCACCATCACAAAGAACTAGGGAAGCCAGTGATTTCTGATGATGAAATTGCTAGAGTAACCCTACAAACAAGCAGTCCTCCCCCTTCCCCACGGCCCCCAATACCTCAAGAGCTGCTGAGACCCATTTTTCCCTGTGAAACTTCCCCAAGCAGCCCGCTAGCATTGCTGGGCGGGGTCCTCCTTCTAGGGGTTAGTTGCCTTGGCTCCCAGACTCGACACATAACCTTTGTACGATGGAGGTAGACGGACCGCGTTGACTAGACAAGGTAAGTGGGCAAAGACTTACATCCTGGACTGGCCGCCCGAGAATAGAACCACCACCCAAGGCGAAGCCGTCGCGCCGTGGTGCTGAATGGACAGCTCCGTTCCAGCCGCGCCTCCCGACTCAGCTCCAGGCAGCGGCAGCGGCTGCTGCAGCAGCAGTCATGGCGACCACCGGCAGCCCCCCGCGCTTCCCAGCCAAGCCCTGCCCGCGGCTTGGACGCGCCTCTTCTCCCCCCGCTCCCCAGGTGGGCGCCGCCTTTTTTGCCGGCGGTTCCGATGCTGCAGCGGAGCGAGGCACCTGAGACGCTTGAGGCAAAGAAGGAAGGTGCCCACGATCGGATCGGAGGGGGCTGAAGGTTGTCTAGGGAATTCCCCACCATCGCGTACAGTCTGCTTCCTGCCACCACGCTGGCTTCAGTGCAGCCTGAAGGGATGGCATTATTATCATTATCGTTATTTTCCAGCAGAGTTAGTTACCTTCTGCCAATTAATTTCTTCTTATTTGCCTACACATTTTCTTTAAAGATCGAAATTCATAACCCATCTTTTCTCAGAAAAAGGAGGTGGCTTCAGACAGCCTTCTCCAAAGTGGTCTCCTCCATATATGTTTTCAAGCTGTCTAATGATTAAGGAATTATGGGAATTGTTCAACACAACCAAAGGACAACAGCTTGGGGAAGGCAAGTTAAGGACTATATTGTGTACATGCTCTGTTATCAAGCTGAACACAGGCAGAAAATGGTCAGATACAATCCATTGTCTTCAGAAATTGAATAGAAAAAATAAAAGCCCATCCAAGTATTTTTCCCAGTAAGTGGTTAGCTAGGCAACCGGTTACTGGCACAGTAACCCATAATTAACTATGATCTACTCAACTAACCCAATTGTCTGGGTTTCCATGACACACTAGACCATAAACTAGTCACATGCATTGATTTTGCATAACACACCAGTCTAAAATGTGATTGTGTAGTTTGGGTTTACTATGTCATACGAACCCAACCAGTCTGTGTGCAGGGTGCTTATGGAGGCTTGTCCAAGGGGGTATTGTTTATATTTCCTTGTGACCATTTTATCCTGAGTTTTCTTCATAAAAAAACAACCCCAAAGGGAAACTTCCTTTTCCCACTTCCATGTAGGCCTTCTATAGGTTCCAACCTCTCCTTTGATATACAGAATAAGACCTGTGTTAGTTGTCTTCCTTCAACACTCTTGCCCTTGAAATCCTGCTAGTGGTCCTCCAAGTCAGCCATGCTTCTGCTCCAGATATTTCCAGGTCCTAAACCTTGATTCCTTGCTATGTGTTTCTGTTTTAGCACAATGAGTCCCAGAAAACCTCTGCTGACCTCAGTGGGCAACTTCAGAGCAGAGTTGTTGTTGTTGCTGCAGTTGTCTCTTCCTCTTTGGAAGTGGAACACAAAAAATTCACACACAACACATAATTAGCCTTCTTTCAGATATCCCTGATGCATCTATTAAGGGGTGGAAGGTCGTCAATGGGCAGCACACCTAAGAATTTTTGCTGCCTGAAGCAGAGAAACAGATGCCACCTGCATTGGCAGTTGAATCTTACTTTAGCACCAGCAAGAGATTAGTCTCTTCTATTCTTGGGGCACCAGGAGCCTAGGATAGGCTGTATAACATACATAGCTCCAGCAGATGGGGACAGCCAGGAGGCACTACTACTGCCTGCCCCTAACCTGGCACCTAAGCAGTCACCTCACTTTGCCTAGAAGGAGGACTATTTCGGTATGTGAATTTGACATTAGCATGAAGGAAGAACATACATATACTGCATCTACACAACCCTACACCTGCTTCACTTAAGTGGAAACTGGGTCCAGTTTGGTCATTTTACCTGCAGGGTAATGGCCTAACTCACTCCCTTGGTATCTTTCTATGGGAATTGCTTCCAAATAAGGCAAGCTAACTTAGTTGCACCTGAAAGCCTCCAAGGATGAGTGAGCCTCTGGACATCTGTCCCCAAATCCTGTCTCGACGGTGCCTGAGCAGGAGGCCTGATTAGCCAGGTTTTTCACTTACATGCAGAAGTCCCAATTACTTCCATTGGTAGTCTTATAAACCGATCTTCCTTGTGTGGCTAATGCTTGCATTATTAAGGACTAGGAAAACTGGAAACTTGTCTAAAGGGCTACAGGGCTACTATATCTGAGTGCAAAAATCTGGACCTCCACTAGATGAATGCAAAGTGTTGGTTTTTTTTTTTTACAAATCCCTCTAGCTCATTGCTGCCACCCTCTAGTCAGGATTGTTTCAGCTAAAGTCTAGAGCCCTATTTAAATTTGCGGCCAGAAAATATGGAGCAAAAGTCGAGCTGATAGCTTCACTGGCTACTTCTATTTCTGAGTCTAATGAAGGCAATGTTGGTTGGAATGATGGCAGTTACAGTCCAAATCCTCTGGAAAGCACCAAGTTGGAAAAGCTTAAGAGACTAATATATTCAGATTCTGCAAGAGATTTTCCCAAGTTAAATCAGGCTGGAGAAATCTATAAGATAGATAATTTTGGCATGGGAAATAAACAGTGAACAACAGGCTCGGTCAGCATCTCCTCATCTCCAGAATCTTCTTAAGGCAGGGATACATAACCTAAGGCCCCAGAGTTGCATGTGGTCCCAAAACCCTGGGTGTAACCCCACAGTCCCTCTAAAGGTTGCTGCCAAATTGGAGGTTATAATGTGACTGATGGGGATATTTATTAACTGCATGAGGAAAAAGCTTTTTAATTATATGAACAATGTATGAGTAGTATGCATCTTATATAATTCGTTGTAATTTAGCCTTTGTCCTGGATCCACTGTTATAATCCTGTCAGATGAGAAGGAGGACCAGGAGGATCTGGAGGAGGTGTCCTAAGGCCAGTTATGATCATTCCAGACCCCAGCAACTATGCCAAGCCAGGAAGAGCCACACAGTTCTTGTCCTTGAGTCAGCAGATTCTGATCTGAACTAGGTGTCTTCTCCTAGTTGGAGAAGACTCCTAGGGCACATGCATCCAGGTGTAGAATGTCAAAAAACAGTCATAGTACTCACTTTTCTAAGAGACAGCTGGACCAGGCAGGGATACTTGGAAGTAATCTGCTGAGAACAATCAGGCTGGATCAGGAGTCAGAAGCTTCTAATATTTAAAAACAACATTGACAGGATAAAACTGTTGATACGTGAGAACCTGCTTTAACTTTCAGTTGTGAAGCTCTAACTCTACAAAGTAATTCCTGATATTTGATTTTGGTTTGCCTCTGGATTTCTTCATTCATTTACTCCTTTAAACCCTGTTCTTCAGTGAGCTGTCTCGTGTGTTGAGGGTAGGGATAACCCAGATAATGAACTGTTATTTGTGAAGTTAGTATATCTACCTACTTTTGGAGTGTAACTTTAGCATGCCACTCAAAGCCATTTCCCCTCCCTAACTGTTCACCCTTGCTCTGAAATGGATATATTTTCATTTGGCAGAGCAACATTGGTGATGGCAGAAGACCTTCCATTCCCCCCCCCCTCCTTCCCCACTGACCCCGGCCCGCTCCCTCCCCCCACACACA